GATGGCGGATTAAAGCTGAGATATATTTTGCTTGCTCTTGTCATCTATCTGAGGGTGTTCACACATGTAGGATGGTTCTTTTAGTACAAACTGAAGGTGAAAGTTAATGAAGTTGAACTATTTTTTAGTATTCACTCAGCAGCAAGTCACACTTTCTGTAACGTCTGAAACAATGCTGTTTGCTAGGCTAAACACTGAATGTTTGTGTGTACATTGTGTGATGGCATTTTATCACTTGAGAACATAACAGCATCAGAAATTCCTCTGCAGTAAGAACGCAACAGCCACAGGATGTTAACATGACATCAATTTGGCGTTGTATCTCACTTCATGGGACGTTGCATTTTGTTTGGAAATGAAATGAACGAGTTGACGTCAGGCTGATGTCAATGTCCAACGTCGGACAGATGTTGCATTTTGGTTGCTTTCTAACACAACTTAGAAACAACAAAATATCAACATCTACTGATGTCACAGCTTGATGTTGCGTGGACGTTACCACTATGACGTCTATCAGATGTTGGGTTTTGGTTGCCAAACCCGATGAGTAAATGTCAGTATTTGACGTAAATATGATGCTGGTTTAAGATGTTGGCTCAACGTTGGAGTTTGGTCACTTTCTAACACAACCTAAAATCAACAAAATATTAACATCATTTCACGTCATTATTGGATGTCAACATAACATTGTCCTTAAACGCTGGCGACCTAAATCTAACCTAATATTAACGTCTTGTGAAGTTGTGTGTCTGCTGGGAAGAAATATGCTTCAGACATCTGCATTGAGTTGCAATGGGGATTTCCATACACTCTTAAAAGATTCTGGCAAATTGGTTAAAATATGAACCAAAGAAAGTGATGGGTTAATATTAAAAAATCTGCTTGGTTTTGACTACACTCTAAAATATTTTTAAATTCTCTAAATCTCTTATCTCTTAAATATCATAACTAAAATCAAAACGTATAAAATCAAATGTGGACTAACTAGAGTTGGGTGCATTTTTTAGATAAGTATCAGCTGTTTAATTTGTTCATATCTGACTCAGCATTGGATTAAAACAACTCAGCATTTTTTAGAAAAAGGTTCAAATGGCAACTTGCTCCAGAGTTTGTTTTAATCAAACTAAACATGTCAAGTGTGAATGCACCCCTAAGCACTATGGACTTTTAGGAATCAATTCCCTTAAAACCCTTTAATTAAATAAAGTTTAATAAAACCAGTAAGACATTTTCAAATTTTATTTAGGGTCATCATTTAAAATGTAATCATTTAGGATGGGTTATATTTTAACATTAAAAACATTCTGATCTGACACACACACATACACATAGACACACATGCCAAAGGTGGAAAAACACAAATTAATAAAAATAAATGATTAAAGGAAAATGTTCATTCCCATGATTCACAAAATCTTAAAATTATGCTACTAAACAAAATGCCGTTAAATTTAAAAAATAAAATGAAAACAAGTTTTTTGCTCAAATCTATTCACAAAAAAACAATAAACAAAGAGTAGTGTATGTTATTCAAAATATGTATACATATTAAAACTTAAAGTATACAGAAACTACACTAAAAAAGTTAGTTTAAAACTTAAAATTTCGAGTTCACTGAACCTATGTCGAGTGAAGTGAAGTAATTGGGTTGAAAGTTAAGTCGACTCAAAAAAGTCCCGAAGTTTGTTGGCTTTTTATTTTTAAAGTTGAGTCAACAGTTGATGTGGTATGTCAGACCATTGAACACTGAAGATGTTGAAGATTTTTTTAATATTTAAAATATATAGTTGCAATCAGAAATATTAAACCGCCTAAATCAGGGGTGTCCACACTCTGAAGAGTTTAGCTCCAACCCTAATCAAACACACCTGAACCAGCTAATCAAGCTCTTACTAGATATACTGGAAACTTCCGGGCAGGTGTGTTGAACCAAGTTGGAGCTAAACTCAGCGGGACATCCCTGCCTCCACCCCCCCCCCCCCCCTGTTTATTTTTTTCACAATTTTTGTTTAACGGAGAGAAGATTTTTTCAACACAATTCTAAACACAATAGTTTTAACAACTCATTTCTAATAACTGATTTATTTTATCTTTGCCATGATGACAGTAAATAATATTTGACTAGATATTTTTCAGGACACTTCTATACAGCTTAAAGTGATATTTAAAGGCTTAACTAGGTTAATTAGGTTAACTAGGCAGGTTAGGGTAATTAGGCAAGTTATTGTATAACGATGGTTTGTTCTGTAGACTATCGAAAAAAATTGCTTAAAGGGGTTAATAATTTTGACCTTAAAATGGCTTTTGAAAAATTAAATGCTGCTTTAATTATATCCAAAACAAAACAAATAAGTCTTTCTCCAGAAGAAAAAATATTATCAGACATACTGTGAAAATTTCCTTGTTCTGTTAAACATCATTTGGGGAATATAAAAAAAAAGAAATATATAGAGAAATCTGTTATTAATAATTTGTCACCTTAGGATTAATTAATATTTTCTATAAGAAGCTTAACAATATTATATTTATGCATATACATTAGTTTAGTCAGTACCGAAGCCAAATCTGGAGCTAATCTAACAAAACAACTTACAATAATTGTTCACAAAAATGTATATGTTAGGGAAAATATTTAATAAAAAAAATTAAAAATAGCAAAAATCAAGAGAAACAAACATATACAATTTTGTTGAAATGTTTTTGCAATACTTTGCATGAATTTAATTGTATTATCTTTCCATTTCTAAAGATGATCTGTAACTAAAATATTATTTTAATAAATATATCTGTTTAATAAATCTGTTTTGTTCAAATGCACATTTATAAATTACCCATATTCACTGAGAAAGGGATACAAATGTTCATTTTTTAAATGGGGTGTACTCATTTATGCTGAACGCTTTATATTTAAGTCTTAAAACCTACACCCAGTCATAAATAAAATTGCACAATGTTCATTCTTCACTCCAAAGCCTTTGGGAAACTGCCCTATAATATTCAATAGGCTTGGCTGTTTGAACATCATTTTGTCAGCATTCAAAAATAACCTTTTACAAATTAACATAAACCTCCTAATCCCAACGGACCATTGTCTGCTTTCAGATGACACTTCTGAGAGTTCCAGTCTCTTAACATCTGTCAAAAAATCTAGCATCCTTTTCACTTTTCCATGCTCTGTACTTTCTATTAGGCTGCAAAATCTTCATCCTATGAGCTCTTAAAATCTTATAGGCAATTGAGACTTGCTTTGCAAATGGACTGTTGACTGTGCACTCGGGGAAGTATCAAACAATTCCATCTGCAGTTTATTTGGAGTAGTGAGCATTAACCTGCACACTTCTCCATTACATTTCAGACCCTACAGAAGAGTGAAGCAGGGCCACCTGATGTGTTCGAAATGGACGTAATTGAGTGGACCGAAAAGATAATTAATGAGCAATCAACGGACATGCAATAGAAGGGGGGACACGTACAGCATGCAGGGGATTCAATCTAAGAGTTATGAATGATTTAGCAGAGGAAGCAGACTTGCATGACAATACAGATCTGTACAGGTCAGACCAATTTAATCTACTATCGCTCTAATCACATTTACAGGTGGTCTACTGTATTAAAGCAGAGTTTTTTAACAGAATAACGATAGGCTTTCATTGCACAGTCAGATACAAATAAATATTTTATGGTGTGCTTGGGTGAAACTGTTTGTAAAAAAAAAGAAAAATACGATTTCCCCGTCAAATAAAAAGGTGCAAGAGTGCGTCTTTATCCACAAAGGTCATGCAGTCACTTAAAACCACTACAGAAAAGTCCTTTTTTCCTGCTCATTTCCAGCATTCAGAATTTAATTCACATCAAGAGAATGAATGACTGAGCATGGAAGCTGTCATATTTTTTGTGCATTCATTATTTATCTGATGTACAAACTGGCACAAGACCACACCGTGGCAGCATGACTGCTGAGTCGTGTGACACATTTTAGGTGATGAGTGAGATGTAAATGTGCTGTTTGTTTCAGTTATTAAATTGTCAAAACATATGGAGAGAATTTGGACACACAGATATTGATGTCGCCATTTCTAATCCACCGTGCAAAATAACTCCAATTTGTCCAATTCGAATTGATGTTATTTAGTATGTTGGTATTCAGTTGTATGATTTAAAAGTACAAAGCTTTTAATACAAGTATTCTGACTCATGTAGATGAATCCCAATGGGGTGAAGACAAACTAGTTTGAGAAAGTACTTAATTTAACTGCACACATAATTTCCAAATGAATGGGACAAAATGTAGTTAAAGGGGCAATTCAACCAAAAAATGTATTCTGTTATCATTTACTTTTATGTTTTTTACCTGTGTGTAACAGAAATTTGGGAAATTATATCAGGTTTTTGGATTTACAGGGAAAAAAAATCTTGTGGAAGAAAGTCGTACATGTTTGGAATTTCATGAAGGTGATTAAATGCCTACAACTATTTTTTTTTTTTTACTTTGGGCAATTGAGTCGAATATTTCAACTTTTAAAATCCGTGAAAATTTTCCACAAAAGGTTTGTTATTGAGAAAAAAAGTGTTCTTTAGACACAAATAAAAATGTATTTTTCGAACCTAAAATCTTTTTTCTTTGGCTTCACTTTGAAAAACCCTTTTTTGGACTTTTTTTAAGAGTGTGAACAGAAAACCCCACTCAATGTTTGGACTGCACAACACCCCTTACGGTAAAACACATTTTATTGGAGTGCCCTCCTTTTCATGATTCCAGAAGGCTTTTTTTAATGACATGAGCTCTCTTAAGAACATTTTTAACAGGAAGAATTTTAGAATTGTTATCATGTATTAACACTAAAAATCTTATTTAATTTATGTATTTATTTGTTTGTTGTTTTTAATTGTATATTTATTTTGCAAATATTCTTGCCATGAAAGTAGCCTTGGTTGCTGACATGACATTAAATAAAAAATGCATTACATTAAGAGCGTAAACAATGATAAATGATTCTTACCTGTCCGTTCTTCTTGAGGTCTGCCCACATACTGGTCCCATCTCCTCCTCTCATCAGGACATGATATGTGAAGAAGTAGATACCAGGTAGAGGGCATGTGAATTTTCCAGTGCTTGGCTCATAGTAGTTGCCCACATTGGTCACCACATCATCAAACTTGAGCACATCAGTGCCTTCATGTTGCTTGCGCAGCCCTGCGTAAAAGGCAATTTTAGGACTGTAGAAGGACGGCACGTAACCGCCAGGCCCAGGACCTGGGGGTCCTTGTGGACCTGGCTTCCCAGGCTCTCCTGGTGGTCCTTGTGGACCAGGTGGACCAGGAGGTCCCCGATACCCAGATTTCCCTCTCCGGTTTGGAAAATCAGGAGGTGCAGGTGAAACAGCGGTTAGCTCCTGGCCCTGAGATGTTGTGTAGGGGTCACAAACCATCCGACAACTTCCTAGCATTTCATAATGGCTTCCAGAGGTGCCGGCTCCTCCTCCTTTTGTGCTGTGGACCAGTAAAGGGATGGTGACCAGGAGGATCAGAACCATGGCCACACCCACACCCGCTCCTATGACACGCTTGCGACGGCTGAGCCGAGAGGCAGCAAGCGTTAGAAAGTCCTCCTCTCCTTTGGGTGGAATGGTGCCCGCCAGTGTGAACAGAGTTTGAGAAAAACTCGCTAAAGTGTGAAAGCAAATATGTGTTTGGGTACAAAAGAACAGACACACCAGAGATATCTACAGAGGAATGAGGCCAGTGGGGGGAAGGATACGAGATGAATTTATGGATGAGACAAGGAAACCAAGAAGAACGTGGAGCATACAGAAAGGAGAGGGTGCAATGGGACCTGTGGTTAGGACAGAGTGAAGAGCGAAAAGAAGTTCAACAAGAATGAAAAGGAACAATGGCGGCTGCGGTGGAAAGGTGTGGCACAGGAAAGAATAAAAAATGATAACAGGAACACAAGGTGGTTCTTGGCCACCTTTAAAATTTGGACACTTGGAACACAATGCAACACAGATTGTTTAAAGTGTTGTCATTTCTTGGCTAATAACAGTACTGATCTTCTGATGCGTTTTCTTGTTGTTAAACATTAGATCTATCATGAATTCTCCAATACACAGAAGATGCGTTGAGTTTCTGTTTTGCACAAATGACAACCCGTTTTTGTTTTTTTCTACTTCAAGTTTTCATCCACAAAACATGTGCAATTGAACAACTCAACCAGTTCATAACGGTCTAAATGTAAACAGAAATGTATGCTGCTAAACAAAATTCGGTGTCCAGCTAAACAACGGACAGATGTGTCAAAACAAATTGATGCACTCAAATGCTCCTTTCACAAATAAATTTGTCCAACACTTTGCACTAAAACCTGATGAACTACAATGTATTGATTCTTTGGATTATTATTATTATTTATTTATTTATTTAGGGACATATGGAAGTGCCCTGTAGATGCTCTGATGGGACTGGGGAAATTCCACAGAAACAGAACTGGAAGAGGAAAAACATGAAAAGACAATAAGGGAAATTTTATGTCAGGTCCACATTACAACTATATTTGTCACAAGCACGTTGCAACTGTGTGTATCTTATTTTCTAAAGTTATATCTGAAATTTCAACAAAATGAAAGTCTGCATTGTTTATTGCAATAACCAAGGCAAAGTGCATTTAAAACAGTAATTTTTATTTTCTGTTAGAATGACCCCTAAATGCCAGTTGCTATTAACTGTTTTGTTTTTTATTTTGAACAACATAAATATGCACATAAAAACACACACGCCGTAAATGTAACTCATACAAATAATGAATAAAACAATATTTCAGTTATTCTACAGTTATTTGTAAATAGTTCAATATTTGTGAAAGTACACTAAAGAGACACTTACCCTCACTTCAATGTCAATGAAGATATTTACGATAAAAAAAATCGTACTGTGTTGTCGGTCCTTACATTTGCTGAGTTCCGGAGCAAATTAGCGGTGAATGAGGAACATATGCATCTTCAGCAGACGAAGACTCCAATATTTATTCCAACACAATGTCGTTTTTTAGAAGCTCTAACCAGACAAATTAGGTAACGTTAAGTTAACTTAAGTAAGTTGCAATCTCTTCTGACCTTTATTCCAAAGGACTTGACTGAACGCGTGAAGTAAACTTCCGCTTTTATCGTTCGTTTTGTCGAGAGAAATAATGATACAGCAACAGCGCTGGACTTCTGACTCCGACACCTGTGAGATTTTCACACACACACACTCACACTGTCCCCCTCATTCCTCCATCCGGTCGACTCCTCCCTCCCTCCCTCCATCCCATCTCATCTCGTCTCATCCGCGCTCCTCTCACTGGCTGTGCTGCCTACCTAGACCACGCTATAGACTGAGCTTTGAGACGCAGCCGCTGTTTTCTCCTTTCTTAATCATCATTTAATGAGGGAAAGTGGTGTAAATGTTAATCGTTTATCATGTCAGCAGCCCAAGTGAAATAATGCTTATAAAATAAGCAATTTTATTTACACACACACACACAATTATTGTGGACAGCACAGAAAAATGACTCAGTAAAGCATCTCTATCTGTTTGGGTTAAAGGATGGAGCAGTGTGACTTTTCGAGGCCATTGTGTGTGTGTCTCAGTTTCTCTCGCTTTCAGAGCTCATTAGTGAAGGACACTGAGACCATTGTGCTCTCCCTCGCTCTCTTTCTCTATTTCTATCTTTATTCCTATCTATCTATCTATCTATCTATCTATCTATCTATCTATCTATCTATCTATCTATCTATCTATCTATCTATCTATCTATCTATCTATCTATCTATCTATCATCTACCTGTCTGTCTGCCTGTCTATCCATCTATCTCTTCAACTATCTATCCATCCATCCATCCATCCATCCATCCATCCATATACCTATCTGTATATCTGACTGTTTGTCTATCTATCTATCTATCTATCTATCTATCTATCTATCTATCTATCTATCTATCTATCTATCTATCAGTCTATCTGTCTGTCTGTCTGTCCGTCCGTCCGGGTGTCCGTCCGTCCGCCCGCCCGCCCGCCCGCCCGTCCGTCCGTCTGTCTGTCTGTCATTGACTAATATATGGATACAAATATATAGGCTATGTATATATATAATGTATCGGTAGCAATAAAATTAAATCTATAGCTATCTATCAACCTGACATGATTGCAGTTGATCTATTGACTAATAAATACAAATACAAATCTATATCAACAATTTATTATCAGCAGTTATCTTTAACATATAAAATAACACCGAAAATGGCCAACAGTACATTTTTAATACTGAAAAATCACCCATATCTTTAAAATGGTCTCATTTAGATCACAATTATACAGAGCTCATTGCAGTTTGTTGAAAGCTAATGCAAGCAGTGTTTAAATATTAGGTCTGGTGGCAGATCCATTGAGAATTCAGAGTAACTCATCCCATCTTCCTTCCTGTCAGGCTTAATCACACATCTGCATTTTTAAAGTTTAATGGTGGAGGTGGTAGTGGGGGGAATACATATTGACAGCTCTCGTTTTTTTCCAGCCACCCCTCTCCACACCTCTTTCTTCGATGTGACCAGTGTCAGGGGAGAGAAGAACAAAAGAAGTGGACAGGGAAAAGGAAGGAGCGGAGAGGAACGTGCAAAGCCCAAGTAAGGATTATGTGTGACTTATTACAGTGTTGAGTTAAACACTGTGTCATTTCCACTTTGTGTGTCAGTCATTGCCTTCCATTAGAAATACACACACACACAGAGAATGGGCTTAACCACAATGGGTGTATAATCATCGCCGCGAGACATAGGCAATATAGTGAGAATTGGATTTTTAGTGGCTGTTAAAATATTACTGAGATGATTAATATTGAAAAATGCACATGTCTCTGAGCTGTCTGTCTTTCATTCACTGTTCTTTTCTGGTCTCAACCCACCATTCTGTCTTTCTCTTTCCTTTCTTTTCTCTCATCGTGTAAGGGAGAGTTGTGTTTGTACTGGAATTGGATTGGTGAGTATGTAACTCTGCTAACTCCAAAGCATCTGGCACAGTTTACCCCATTTTGGCACAGTTTACACTGGCAGAGTTTATCCAATAACAGTTTTAATCCTTCTTTAAAGGGTTAGTCCAAAATTAAAGCTTAAACTTAATTTAAAATTAAGCTTAGTCCCTAATTTATCAGGGGTCACCTCAGTGGAATGAGCCACCAGCTAATCAAGCCCATGTTGGATTTGCCCAGTACTGGGAAACACCCATACACTCTCACATTCACACACACACACACACACACTCATACATTTCGGCCAATTTTAGTTCATCCAGCTGACCTATATCGCATTGTTTTGGACTGTGGGGGAAACCGGAGCACCCGGAGGAAACCCACGCCAACACAGGGAGAATATACAAACTTCATACAGAAACGCCAACTGGTCCAACTGGGACTTGAACCAGCAGCCTTCTTGTTGTGAGGCGACAGTGCTAAACATGAGCCACCAAGTCACTTTGCTTATTCTTATGTGCTGTAAATATTGATATTTTATTATTTACTTTGATGTTTTGTTCTTTTTAGCCTCAATAGTCTAAATAGCATTATGTTACAATAGCAATGCCTAGACCATTGGTTTGATTCTTGATTCTGGAATGCATGAATTGATCAAATGTACTGTATAACATGAGTCCAATATAAAATGCCTTTTTGCAATGTGCAATATGGCTTTCTTTACCTTTTTGTTGATAGGACAGTGGAGGAGGGTGGTTTTAGTAAATGAAAACTAAAACTAAATCTATTGGTCAGAAAATAATTCATTTATTAACTGAAATAATTGATAAAAAAATTTAAATAATAAAATAAAATTAATTAAATTAATAAAAAAATAATAAATTAAAAACTAAAACTAAATGAAATGAACAACAGTCAATTAGCAAAACTAAATAACTGTGTTCAACCATACTAACCCAGCTGGCATAGGATGTCAACATGACATCAGATTGACATTGTACCCCAATTTCGTGGGATGTTACATTTTGTTTGGAAATTAAAATCAGGTTGACGAAATAACCCAATGTCAGGCTGACGTCAATGTCCAGCATCAGACAGACAATGCATTTTGGTTACTTTTCAACGCAACCTAAAAACAACAAAATATCAGCATGATGTAACAGCTAATAGCTTGATGTAACAGCTTGACGTTGTGTAGACGTTACTACTATGATGTCTATCAAACGTTTGATTTTAGTTGTCATACCAGATGAATCAATCTCAGTATTTGAGGTCATTATGACGTTGGTTTAAAATGTTAGCTTAATGTTGGATTTTAGTAACTTTCCAACCCAACCTAAATTCAACCAAATATCAATGTCATTTCACGTCGTGGTTGGACATCAATGTTATTATGACTCAATGTCATTCTTCTCCATTGTTGTTGTTATGTCATTCTACTCCATTTAGAAATTAAGTCATTTTTGCTCTCTAAGATGAAAATATTTTTCATTTAATCTGAGAGGTCTCTGTCCCTTCACTGATAACATGCTCAAATATAGATTCCATTTTAATTGAAGAGCTGAAGAGACACAATGACTTTTGAAAATACACACTCTTTTTCCCCTCCATTTGCACTTGACACCTTCTTTTAATTACTGCATACTTTTTGGAAAACATTGTGCAGCTTTATGTGTGCAACACACAGGTGAGTGGGCTTGTCAGTCCACCTGTAGGACACATTGTTTCTGCTGCTCTCTGCTGTTTTGAAGTGCTTCTTTTATCCTAAATTGTAAGGCATCTGCTGAATGAATAATTGTAAACGTGGACGAATAGATTGATCTAAGGCTTTGAAAACAGCTACAGTGTTTACAGCATTCAAATTTAGGGTCCACTTGAGTATTAGTAGATTGTCTGCTTCCACTAAACCTAACCCCAACCTAACAGTCCACCTAAAATCTAATGAGAATTAGTTGACATGTAGATGCAATGTAACAAACGGACCATCAAAATAAAGTGTGACCAAATTTAGTCATGGGAGTTCAAGCATGCTTGCTTGATGCATGAGAGCCATTGAGGTTCATTCTCAAGATCCTGATTGTGTCTCTTTAAAAGACTTGGATTGGTTCACTTGATACATCTTATTTTAGTTTTCTATGTAACATATAACCTTTTTTTGAGGTAGGATTTACAGTATATCAACATACTTTAGTTGGAATGCAAATATCTCTAAGATTTGATTAAAATATATACTGCAATTGCAATTTAATGAGTCAATTTTTCTGTACAATGTTTGAGTTACAGTTCTTTTCAACTTTAATTGCATGCATAGGAAGGCCTGTTATATTGCATTGCGTATACAGCAGTGAAGAGAATCAAAACATTTAATCCAAGTTGTCCTAAAACTATTGAAAAACGCCAATTCTTGTCCATACTTTATTTTAGTAAAGATACACATGTAAGTAAAACATTATGAAATTTAGGCCAGAAGTGAAAGTCTGTAATCTTACCTTGTGCTAAAACTGTATATCCATTCATTCAGTTTTTGCAATCAAGATATTTATTTTATACTAGTTTAGTAATGATCATTTATTTATTTATTTATTTATTTATTTATTTATTTATTTATTTATTTATTTATTTATTTTTTGCTGGAAGGAACACAGACATCCATAATGAATGACAGAAAATGTGTGCCATAGTAAGAGCATCAAGAAGTAAGAAACAAGTTATGAAAAATATTGTCAGCATTCACATCAGTGTTTCTCAGAGGATCACTTAATTTGCCAAAATAACAGTAGGAAATTTGTCATGTAAATAATACAGAGGTTGTGTGAGAAAAAGGTAGACTTTGCAGATTCCGTAAGGATTAAAATTACCAACAATATCTGAAATGCACAAATATCTCTAACGACTGCCTGAAAAACTAGCCCCATCCTAATAGAGCTTAAAAACATACGAATCTTTTATGGTTTTTAACATTCACACAGCTACTTCAGCAACTCTTTTTTTTCACCTGATTTGATTATTGTTGCATCTGACTCATTTAAGCCTTTAGGTGATGGCCTTTAGTCACCGATGATGACTCAAGCAAAGTGTCGATGGTTGTTTTAGTATTATGCGTCTGTAGATCTCAGTTTAGCTTTCATTGACTGTTGCATGACATCCAACTGTCAGGATTTGTGTTTAATGACATTGGTGATCCGATCTCTGAACGGCTTTTTTAGAACAAACTGTTAGTCTTGTCTTAGCACAGTGTTGTGGAAAT